CATGAGTCAATGGAAAAATTAAGTTCAAACCAAACCTGAAAATATTTTCCATAGAGATAGATGGTTTTTATGCCATATGGTGGAACATTTTATCCAGAGCAATGACATTTCCATGTTGACATGCAGGTCAGCCCTCGTCCTCTAGGCCACGTTTCAGGCAGGTTTGTAGATGCAGGCTCTCTCACAAAAGACATGTGGTTTTTAAGGTTAATAAAAACATCCATAATAAACATTTGTGATTATATTTAAGTCTATTTTTCTTACTAAGAAATTGGTGATAGACAAGAATTGAGTAACCACTTAAGTAGAGTAAAGTAAAGTTTTAAAAATGTATTGATTTTACAAAAGTCTAACACTGTAGAAGCCTTTAAAAAAGAGTATAAAGTGTTCTGTTTTGAAAGATATAGAGCTCTGGAATGAATGAATTATGCATTAAATTTTGTTTGTCTTAATTTATATTTTGACTCTCTCGTGTATACAGTAAGTCATAAGTAAATGTAAACTTGCTGTTCATACGCTGCTTTTCTTTCTTGGAATTCTGTCATTGTTTAACAGGGTTTGGCGTTAGAAGTTCTTTTACTTCAGTCTAAACCAGACATGTCAAACTCAGGCCCGGAGGCCAAATTTATGTAATTATAAATTATGTAATCATTATATATTATATAATTATATTTGGCCTGCAAGATCAGATCAAATATGTATTAGAGCTGCCCGCCAGCTACAGATAAACTATAGAGACATTATTTATTTAAAATGTTGTTATTTTATATTCTGCTTGTTCTTCTTCAGTGTTTAAGCAAAACTATTATTAAACATTTATTTTAATATGAAAAGGTTTAACATTACATATCTCGAAAGAAGAGAAAACATGCAGATGTTGTTGAAATTTTTCAATAAATACTTAGTTTGGTCCACGACTTCGTCCCAGTTTTAAATTTTGGCCTCTGTGAGTGAAATTGTAAATGCAAATTTGCTGTTCATATGCTGCTTTTCTTTCTTGGAATTCTGTCAGTGTTTAGTAGAGTTTGGTTTTATAAGTACTTTTACTTCAGTCTAAACCCTTTCAGTCATGATCCATGGGGTTTCAGTCTATGTTTGGTTTGGTTTTGTAGTGCTGCAAAATGACCAAATAAAAAACTACTACTACTACTAAAAGTAAGGTATGATAAATGTGTTTATCTGTCAATAGACAGAGGTAGTAGATTCAGATGAAGTCACTCTGACTGTTGAGTTGTAATCCGCTGTGACTATATGATGGTTTTGGCCTGAGTTTTGGCTTAGTGAAACTCACACGAGACATTGGAATTCTTCATAGACATGATGTCCCTTGAAAAGTGTCCCACTCTGTCCTCTCACAGATGACACAGAGACGTGTGTGGACACAACACTGCTCTGTTTGTGCTGAAGTCCTCATGTGTGGAAACATCTCACATGAGCTGCAGCCTTTGGCCCCCACCCTCAGAGACGACCATCAGCACAAAGCAGGACAAGACCACATGTCCAGTACAAGTCCAAGATATCAACGACTGCTTTGTCCCTGCATTTCCACATGTCCTTTCTGTGCATACATGACACTATTAATCAAATCATACATTCTGAAGAACCCCTATTTGATTTTGTTAAGTATTTTAAGGCCCTGTACCAACTTTTCCCATGCATTTGAACAAAATGTCATCTGTGTGCTCTCTGTATCTGATTATAAAATATTTTCTTGTCCAGTAATCAGGACATGCCCAGTAGAATGCTAGTTGTTGTTAGTTTTATCTTGATGGCTATGCATGCATTAGTAATTTATGGAAATACATTACTATAAACCAGGGTTCATCAATCTAAGGCCCGCGGGCCGACTCCGGCCCTCCACATCCCTTTGACCGGCCCCCAGCCCCTATAAGACAATCCTCAAAAGTGTCATGGCCTTTTTTTTATTACTTTTTGGCAAATAATAACACGTCTGCATCTTGTATTTTGATGATTTTTTCAATTAAAAAATGATATTTATATGAAGTATTTATATTTAAAGTATTATATGACGTGTTTACATTTGCTGCCGAATTTCGTCACCTGAGAAACTCAAGATCAAACAGTGACAGTCAACACACACGCAGACTCCTGTAGCACAGTTAAGGTGTTTTGGGGTGCATTTTTGTATGAAAAGTGCTCTATAAATTTGATTGCTTGATTAATTGAAGTTTGACTGAAGGTATACAAGGTACAAAAAGTTGAAAGTGCCGAGTTTTCAAAGAACAGTGGACGATAGATTATTGTTTTGTTCAGTGTAAGGAGCGTGCAGTTTGTCTGGTATGTAAAGAAAGTGTGGCGGTTTTCGAAGAATATAATCTGCGTCGTCAGAGTCAAAGAATTCTGTTATATGGCCGACCCGACCCCGGCCCCCATCACAGTCAGGAGCGATAATGTGGCCCTCAGAGGGAAAAGTTTGGCGACCCCTGCCATAAATAAACAATCCACCATCACAATAAGATGCACCTTAATGAACAAACTTGATCTGTGAAATGATCGTGTCAGGTAGAGTTTAAATAAAAGATCTTATGAGGGTTTAAATAGGCGAATAAATAGTAAAAAAAAAATACAATAAAATAGGTAAATAAACATCACAGACAATCACAGTGATGATCCTTGTATAACTTTCTCCTTGGTCCATCCACAGGAAGAGGAGATGATGAGAAAGTCCATGAGCTCCTCACGCCTGAATGTCAGTTTGGCAGCTTGTACAAGTCGGGAACAATTGAACACTATTCAGAGTCTCAGTGAAGAGAAAGGGGCATTATTGAACGGGTAATTTAAGGATACGCTGTTTTCCTGTCGCCATGGTTTCTGTTTGTGATGTAAACAGACGCACGCCCAAAAAAGAGAAAGTCAGCACGGGCCCAGATGTGGTTATCTTCTGTGGTACAGGAATCCTTTGTAATTAAATACATATAAGCTCAAGATCGCATCACTATTCATGGGTTCAGCTTTCGATATCAGCAACAGTAACAGCAACTTTTTTAAGACTTTGTCCCATTCCGTTGTTAGTTACAAAGGCGATGGTCCCACATTTTCAAACTCATGGATATTTAAGAATGACTTATTGATTATGGGCTTCTATAATTTAAAAGACACTAGTAAAACAATGAAAATGGAGACCTGCTTTGCTTCTTTCTATCTAAACAAAATCACAAATCTACACGATATTTCAAATACCAAAGTAGTAAAACAATACAATGGCTTTTCTTGGCCAGGATCTGCAGCATCTTCTCATGATTATTGTAACTCGGGGGGGTGTCTGTTTTCACATAGCATTGATACTGATTGATTTGCAGTGATGTCACGCTGGGGGTGTTCTACATGTGTGTATTGGCAGAATGTCACCAGTTACCATGGGGATGCAATGCACACATTAGCAAACATTGAGAAAAACATTGTAAAAAAAAAAAAAAAGCAAAAGTGGAAAAAGCACAAAATGGATTTAAACAAGACATTTTCAGGTGTTTGTGATCAATAGGAGCGTTCGTGGTCCTGGTTAGGTGTTTGATTTTCAACAAAAACAGCGAGAGGGACTGAAAAACTGTACTGTTATTTGAGAAGGACTTGTTTAAACACACAAATAAGCTCATCTGTTGTAGTTGCTGCAAACTCTTTATGGTCAAATAAAAAATAATAAAGCTCAGCTGAAAGTCTAAGGCCCACGTCCACACTAGTACATATTCGAGTCGTTTTCAATGTAGATGCAGTGTTCTTCCAACATTGGCAGCATTTTCTAAAGCTTTAAAACAGTGGTTATTCAATGGTCAAATATGTCACCATTTACCAATTTATATTTTCTTTTATTTTGAGGGGTTGTTGGTTTAACTCTTGGTTTAACTCTTGGTTTAATTCTTAAACTTTTGACTTTGAACTTCAAATGAACTATTTGAAACTAATTGAGTGTATAGTGAGTGTGTTGTACGTATAGTGAGTGTGCTGGTGTTGTGTACTTTTGTGTGATTGTTGCTGTATTTTTCCTCATCCTATAGATGATTTTACATCAACCTGCCGAGGGACTGAAGATGGAAATTAGCCACGTTAGCTATAATCTTTGCATATTTACATTTTTAATGTTCATTAATATGTACTGTCTCTTTACAAATAAATAAAATAAGAAATAAGAAATCCACACTAATCGGATGGAAAACGGCTCAAGAGACGGAACGATCTGGTGCCTCCAGCTCCCATGAATTCATCTGAGTACAGATCTGATCCGGCACCGTGTGGACGCCTGAAAACACTGATACACTGATGTAGGTCTATAAGCCAAAACGCTAAAAGGCTAGAATACAGTATATGTCCATTCATATAAACGTGTGTCTGTGTGTACGACCTGCAGACGTATAATCTCTAAAAAGTTTCACATGAACCATCTCCAACACGACAGAAACACAGAACAGACTCACCATCAGCAGAACATCCCTCTGTCACAGAAAGAACACTCATATTCCACTGAGTCGTGTCCTTTAGTCCAACAGAAGCTGAACCACATCAGCGCACAATAGCGAGCTGTTTTTTGAGCGCTTAGTTTATGCAAATTAGCCATGTGGTTTTAAGTTTCATTTGTATAAAACGTAAACAAATATGCTCAAAGCTGTGAGGATAGGGAAGGATTGCGGACACAGAAACGACATGTATGGACGCAGATTGTTTCCAATACGGTGATACAGTGATATGGTGATACAGTGATTTGTTAGTGCTAGTTGACGAATGTTGACGACATCACCTGCAAAGTATCAATATCGAAATACAGCATATTGAAAATAGAGGGCCGTGGATTTCATTTGAATAATTTCAGGTTTTTACCATATTGAAATTAGATTTTGTTATTTTATTTGTATTGTTTCAGTAGAATGACTTCAATTTGTAGTAAAAAGTGCAGCTTCACAGTCAATAGATCTGTTCAAATCATTTATAAAGGCTTATTTTGTGTGTTTTGCCGTGTTATTGAGTTCTGTTATTAATAAGAGTCTTACCTGTGAGTCTGGTTCTGTGTAGGGGCTGATCTTTCCGTCGTCGCTCACTGTTGGAGACCACACTCTGTCTACGCCTGACCCCGACCTGAAACCAAACCAAAAAAGTCCATCACAAATCAATACACTAACTCATTCATACAAAACAACAACCGAAGATGAAAGGTCCTTGTTATCTTAGGTATAATAGGCTCCATTCATGCTTACGTCACAAACCAGGAAGACGTTTGGAAAGATGCAATGACAACTTCTTGTGTAGTACACTGGACTTGCCGATCGACTGTGATCAAACCAACTGAAGTAAATGTGATCAGCGGTAAAATGAAAACTGCATATGTATGTGCTGTTTGGAATAATCATGAATTTGTCGCCTCGTCTCTTCTAATCACATGTACCCAGTGCGCTCGGAGTTGTGCGTCAGTGGGGAAATGATGAAAACAGGTGTGGTTGGAATTGTTATGTAGCCGAACAGAACAGAACACTACAATGACATGGAGGTGGAGAAAACTGGGCTATTTTCAAATTTTTCCTAAATTTTGTTAGCCAGGCTGGTGCCATCTATTGTCTCCACTCAGTTTCTTTTCTCTCCAGTGACTAGGTCAGGAATCGGAATACATTAGACGGTTTGTAAGCACCCCAGAAGTTGTAGACTGCGCAGCGTCCAATCAGCGAAGAGCTGTGAAGCCAGCACATACTTGGACACCACTGAGCGTTCCGTCACATTGCATACATCTCGCCCAAATAGTAACCAAATAATAAATAAATAACCAAATTGGTTAAATAAAAAAAGTACCCGCCTACTGTCAAGCAAATGAATCCTAATGGTCAGACAGTTTCCACAAAGTGAAACCAGCTGATGAATCAGACTAAGATTTTGTCAGACTTAAGCCCAGTTTATGGCTGTGTGTCAAATCGTCTGCGTCACGACCCAGAGAGTCTGCATCGCCTTGAATCCCCTTCACAGAGATTCTGCGTCGACTGACGTGCACCTCCAAAATATTCTAACTTTGCGTTGAAACGACGCAGACAATATGGGCTGTGATTGGTCCTCTCTTCATTCGCTCTACATACATTTCCAGTACTCTGTCTTCTCGCTTCATTTGGTAAAAAACAAACTCAATTTTTAAATCTTAGCCCCGTAGTCTTGTGGCGGTGAATTACTTTGAAGCGCATAGACCTCGACACAGACCCATAAACGACAAGGGCAACGGCGACAGTGTGTGCTGAGTCAACGCGGAACTGTAATTAGAAAGGATGTAACAATATCCATATCTCTTGGTACAATATTTTGTAAGAGGCTAATATAATTGTAGATAGGACAATTATTTTGCTTTTAAAATACCTTGACAAGATTTTGGTGTGAATTATTTCTGTCATAATCCCAAGAGTTCAAGTCAAGAACATATCTCTTCATGTTGTCTGCACTGAAATGAATCATGGGAAATGTAGTTTCTGATGTTCATAAGCTGTTGCTACTATAAACCCTTGCATTTAAGCAAAGGAAGTTGTAATTTGATATATTGTGACAGCCCACGATGTTATTGTGACACTTTTGACGATACAAAATCATGATATTTCAGTTTGTCTTCCAAATGTCTTCCTGGTTTGTGACTTAAGCGTGAATACAGTAGAGCCTATAATTCCTACAACGGCGGCATAGCCAGACTGGTCAAATGAAGCTCACTGAGGCCAGGCAGTTACAGGGCGAATTTGGGGCCGATTTCCATATTAGGAATTTATTTACAGACAAAAAAGTAAAATAAAAGCACCAGGATCATGAAGAGCTGGTAACAAACATTTTAAGACCAAAATGAGGAGCCTGAGGGACGGGCGAAGTTTTTTCAATACGAAGTGAACTGGAGCCAGAGTCGAGCCTAGTAGAAGTTTAGCAGAAGAAAATATGAACAAATGTAACTCAACTCTAGCAGTTCTTTCATTCTTTTTGCAACCAGGACACCCTCTCATTTCTCAACCTTGGCAACATTAAGCAGATGATGAAGCTTGCGTTTCATTTGAAAGATAATACAGTAACCGTCAGCAGCACGTTATTTTTCTCTAGGAACTGTCTCGTACATGCCTGGATTACACCGATAACTGCTCCTATCTGAAGCCGTCTGCTCTTTAGATCAGCTCTCGGTATTTTCTCAGCCTGAATTACGTAAATGTCACGGCGATAAAATACTTTTGCTAATATGCTGAGTTGGGCCAGGCCTATCGTGCGCTACAAACCCCATATGAAAACAGGAATGCACGGGTTAAGTTTCCACGGATCTTTTCAGGTTTTAAAATGCTGTGATATCGCGGATTAGCTTTGTCTTGGAAAACACATTTTTGCACAATCTTCTCAGCCTGGGATTTGAGGTTGCTGTTTTATCAACATCATTACTGTGAGAAAAACATATCTTCAAAGGTTCCTCTAAAGAATCAGGTTTGGTTAGCTCAGAATTTGGATTGCTGATAACTTTTCACTCACAAATCGGGCTTGGCGGCAGTAGATTTTAGGCTTTATAACTTCAATAAGTAGAGGCAAAGACTATTTTTACTCTTAGGTTACAGTGGTTAGGACATCTGGTTATATCACTCGACCAGTGGTGGAAGAAGTACAAATAGAGAGTTAGTAGAAAAATTACTAAGTAAAAGTTTTACATGAAAAAACCTGTTTGTCTCCATGGACATGCTATTGCTTTGCCTGAAATGTTCCACAGTGTGACATTAATCTTAGCTAACTCCACATAAACAGTCAGGTGGTATGATCAAGCAAGTTACAAGTCAGATCTGTGGAGAGGTAAGCCTATTCACCACTTATTTTTCAAGGTATTTTGAGCAATAAAAACACCAGTATTTGATATAGATAAAGTCATACTGTGGAACATCCAAAGCAAAAGAATAATTTCTATGGAGACAAGCAAGCGCCAGAAGTTACACAACACGCTTTTAAGTAAAAGTATTTAAGTACTTGTTTAAAAAGTTTACTTTAATACTAAAAAGTGAAAGTATTTGACATATTTCAAATGTTGTTGATTTGTTAAAATGCAGTTATATTGATCCATTTTCCTTTGCTTATCCGGAGCTGGATCATGGGGGCAGAAGTCTAAGCAAGGACTCCCAGACTTCCTTCACCCCAGACACTTCCGCCAGCTCCTCTGGGGGGACCCCAAGGTGTTCCCAGGCCAGCCCAGAGACATAGTCCCTCCAGCGTGTCCTGGGTCTTCCCCGGGGCCTCCTCCCGGTGCGACTTGCCCAGAACATCTCCCGAGGGAGACGTGGAGGAGCAGCAGCTCTACACCGAGCTCTTCCCGCATGACTGAGCTCCTCGCCCTATTTCTAAGGGAGTGCCCAGTCACCCTGCAGAGGAAACTCATTTCGACCACTTGTATAACAGAATAACAATATGAATAAATTTCTTATTTTTTCTTATGAATTTTGTGTATTTATTTTTGTTTGCTCAAAGCCGAAGCTTGAACTCAAAAACTCAAGTCAGGATGTTACAATGAACATGGTAAAATAACTCCTAAAATCATATGAAAAGTACTTTTACTTTTCTGTCTTGTTCAAAAATGTAGTGGAGCAAGTACAGAAACCTTCTCTCAAATGTAGTGAAGTAAAAGTAAAAAGTATCCACTGTAAAATGTACTAAAGTAAAGTACAAACACTCCTAAATATTCTACTGTGTACTATGTTACTTTTGGCTGGGGGTCCACCACCTTCTTGTTTCTATGGATATGTCATTGCTCTGGTAAAGGCCTTCTGACTGTGAGTGGGGTCGCCTCTCCACAGATCTGACCTGTAACTTGGTCTGGTTTGGTCTCCATGAAGATAGAATGATTTAATACCACACTGTGAAACATTCCACACAAAGCAATAACATCTCAATGGAGAAAAGCATTTGACCTACCCTCCACCAGAAAAGTACTTTACTAGTACTTCGGTCCCTTCCACCACTGCAAATGACCCTGCAAACTATTGTTGATAATACTAAGAAAGGAACAAACCAAATTCAATGGAAAACCGGTGCAGTGAGCCTCGTGCATGTCTATGGAGATGTGATCGCTTTGCCTGGAATGTTCCATGGCATGAGACCAATCTATCTTGCATTTATTTATTTAGCAGTGTTAAAGCGGACCTATTACGGAAAATCGACTTTTCAGAGCTGCTGACCCTGTTATATTTATTTCCCCTCACTGTTTACTCACCCGAGGTTGTATTTGGAGTGATTCGTGCGTGTTTGAGTCATCTTTAATCGCTTATTTCCAAGAGGCCATTTTGCAGATCAACCCCCGTTTTTACACCTGCTCACTGCTCTGTACGTACTTTCTTCTCCAATTTTATTTTCTTTATCGGCGATACACGTAGGATTCGGCAGCATCATATATTGTTTATTTTATTAGGTTTTATTTTTCTGACCAAGAGTTTGTTTTAATACAGTTTGGACTTTCTCAGAGTGGTCACATGATGTTGCTGTGAAGTGTCTGGTCAGCTGATTTATACAAGTTTTGGACTCTGAACCGGGACGACGGGGGCTTTTTTACTCTCACACACCTGGGATACTGTCTTGAGGAAGCTGGACTACAGATGGCGCTGTCGTCAGGCCTCCATTGGTAGGAAACCAAAACCTATATACCTATATAAATCAACTGAGCGGTCATGTCACAGCAACATCACATGACCAATCTGAGGAAGAGCCAGACTGTCAGGTATGAAAACAAACTCTTGGGCTGAAAAAATAACCTAATAACATAGATTTATCGGAAAACCAAATGAAAAAAATAAAATAAAATCCCTTCACAACTCTTTGGCCCCATCCACACGAGTACATATTCGAGTTGTTTTTGTTGAGATGCAGTGTTCGTCCACACTATCAAACAATCAATCAAACTTTATTTATAAAGCACTTTTCATACAAAATGTAACACAAAGTGCTTTACAGTGATTAAAAACAATCCCACATTTCCTTCCGCCCAACCCACCAACCCAACCCCGACACCTGCCCCGCCCCACACAATCAAACAACCCAAACACACGCACACGCACACACATGCACACTCACACACTAACATGGTAAAATACACAAAACTACACTAAGTAGAA